CCCAAATTCAATCCAATTTTGTTTTCAAATTATAATGAATCAGATTGAGGTGATGTTGCTTTATTTAAGAATAATAATAATAAAAATAATAAAAAAAACATTCGAAGTATGTGATGTCAGAAAATCACATAAAAAGGAGACTTGTTAAAGATGTAACCAGCACACCATATTACAACATTGTTATTTGTTTTTACATGAAGCGTCACTAAACAGACGTGTTTGTCACTTTAATATGGTGTGCTGGTGACATCTTTAACAAGTTTCAGTATTGGCGGCGCCATCCGCGGTCACTTCGAGCACCCACGCTGACAGGCATACCCGGTTAGGAGTGCAGCAGGTTTCTGGGAAAACGTTAAAAAAAGAGGACTCTCTCTCCACTGCCAGGGCCGGATTTACCTTCTCTCCTGCCCCAAGGCCAGGGTTCCTCAATGCTCCCCCCTACCCGCTCCTGCAGCAAAAGGGTTTACTCTCTCTCCTGCCCCAAGGCCAGGGTTCCTCAATGCTCCCCCCTACCCGCTCCTGCAGCAAAAGGGTTTACTCTCTCTCCTGCCCCAAGGCCAGGGTTCCTCAATGCTCCCCCCTAACCGCTCCTGCAGCAAAATGGTTAAAGTGGAAGTGAAGATGAAAAAAAAATTGCTGACCTGCAGGCCCATTTTCAACACATTTCCTGCATTTTTCGACTCTATCCAAAACAAAGAACATATATACATGGGGTATATGGGGTATACATACATGTTACCTTTTCGTCACTGGGGTTTGATACACTTTAAATGATTAAAAATATATTTAACTTTTTCAGCATATAAAATAATAATTTTAAAAAAAGTTATGTTTCCATTGGCAGTATAATTCATAAGATACGGTATATTCTTACATATTCTCTTTTGGTGACATTCCCTTATGAATAATATAATGGAAAAATGAAAGAACAGAGACACAGCATGGATATATATCAGATGGTTTATTTGCTGTTTGGTATAACAGTTTGCCTGTGTGAGGCTCAGGGCACGTCACCTGGATGCAAACTTGAGATGGGAAGATTTGTATTTGAATATGAATATTCTCAGGAAGGAGATGTCATCATAGGAGGAATAATCACTTCCAATTCACTTGTCTATACATGGAGAATACATAATGTGTCTTTACCACAAAATGTCTGTTCACAGTAAGCATTTTTTTCCGTATTAGTATTTGTCATTTTAAAAAACTTCACCACTAATGCGTGCTGACTGGGGTCACCATACACTGTACACAAAAAAGGAACTCCTGTCAAACAATTAGCCGCACCGGTAAATCAATGCATCTGTTTATTTACTTACATAGTTACATAGTATTTGAGGTTGAATAAAGACATCAAGTCCAACCTATTGTGTGCATGTATATGGCTCTACTCATGTGTGGGTATGTATAGGTCCCTGTGTGATCTCATTTTTAAGAGTACCTGTACCCCTGTATATTACGGTCCCTGAGGAAATCGCCCAACAGCTTCTTGAACGATTCCACACTCTTAGCTGAAATCACAGCACGTGACAGCGAGTTCCAGACCCTAACCTCTCTAACTGAGAAGAACTCCCTTCTCCCCTTGTGCTGAAATTTTTTCTCTACCAGTTTTAGATAGTGGCCTCTATTATTTGTTATGGAGTTAATCGTAAAGAGTTTGTTGCTAATGTTGCTATCCCCGGTAAACATTTTATACATGAAAATCATGCCCCCCTTAATCTCCTTACTTCCAACGAGAACATGTTTAAATTTAGTAGCCTTGTCTCATAGCTCTGGTCCTCCATCCCCTTAATGAGTTTGGTTGCCCTCCTCTGGACTCTTTCAAAGTCAAGGACATCCTTTCTGTGGACTGGTGCCCAAAACTGGACCAATACAACAAAGCGCAGTCCTATACCCATTAAAATGTTAAACTGATACTCTTATTTTATACAATATCAGTAAAGAAGAAATATTAAAACAAAATGGATATGGGCAAGTGTCAGGATCAGGAAGATCCTTGTAATCATTGAGAAACCACTATACCATGTACACTGGTTCTTACTGCATAAATGTTGTGAGTATAATTGATTTTACCTTTTTTTTTCTTTTTTTTTTTTAAAGTATAATACTTTATGGATTTTATTTGTGTTGTACATGCTATTGGCTGAGGAGATGTTCCAATAAACAAAGGCTTATATAGGGTTGGAATGCTTATATATCCTCAAATGTATATACAGAGACCATTTATAAAATTAGGGTCCTATGTCAAGGGTAAGGTTCATTTCAAAAGAGAGAGAAGTTCATGGGGATGCTTACACATACAGGGGGGAATTTATCATAGCAATTACGAGTGTTTGAACTTGCACGGAATATAACTGTGCCAGATTTATGATGCTAGTGTAATAAGTTGTTGATAAATGAGCTTTAATAGACTCCAGGAAAGAAGACTCATAACTCCAGGCAAAAAGCTTAACTGTAGCATATTGAAGAAGTGGTCATGGGGACTTCTTAAGTTGTAAATGTTTTCTTAGGTGGTGCTCCAGTTTCAGACAGCCCCAGAACAAGTGCAGATGAAAACAGGTGCAAAAAACATGCAACTGAAAAAGTAGTGCAAGCTCTAATTAAAACAGGTGCAAAACACGTGCAAAAAACATGCAGTTGAAAAAGTAGTGCAGGCTCTGATGAAAACAGGTGCAAAACACATGCAGTTGGAAAAGTAATGCAAGCTCAGGTCAAAACAGGGGCACATGTTGAAAGACAGGCTAAAGACAGGCTAAGAGGCTAAAACTGTCGCAAGTGCTTTGATACATTCCCCACAATGTATTTGGTGGAGTGATATACACCTTTGGTGCAGTGGAATAAGATGAAGGATGATTCTTTGACTTTGGCATAATCGGTTATTGGATCGAAAACATCTTTTTTACACAAGCGCTGTATAAAGTCTACAGTCTATGTCACTGAGTCCAACCCCAACATGTTTTGTCTACAGGACGTGCACCCTTGAGAAAGTCCTGTGAACGAAACATGTCCACAGGACTTTTTGCTTATCATTTGTAGGAGTTTTAATGTAGCAGCCACAGGGTGGGATCACCATTTCTGTGATTTGAAATGTAATCTTGGAGCATCAGGGATATTACCACAGTATATACTGCCTGGCCGAAAAAATTCACCACTTAGATTTAGCTAAGCAAATAGGTCAGAGCCTTCCATTGGATGATTACTAGGTTCAGCAAAGTTATGTGCCAAAGAAATTTGGTCAGCTGCTTACCTGGATATACTGAGTGACCAGAATTTCACGGTGATACTTACACATTACACAGTAATTGGTGGAGTGATACACACCTTTGGTGAAATGGAATAAGATGAAGGATGATTCATCAGATGAATTTTTCTTCCCTGGTGTGGCACATTGGGTATAGTCCAAGATGACAATGCCGGGATTCATCGGGTTCAAATTGTGAAATAATGGTTCAGGGAGCATGAGACATCATTGTCACACATGGATTGGCCACCACATAGACTAGACCCTAAACTCAATGAGAATCTTTCAGATGTGCTGGGGAAGACTTTATGCAGAGCTCTGACTCTCCCATCATCACTACAAGGTCTTGGGGAAAAATTAATGCAACTCTGGATGGAAATAAATGTCGTGGCATTGCATAAGCTTATTGAAAGAAGGCCATGGGGAATGAGTGCCTTAATCAAAGCTAACGGCAATCCAATGAAATATTAGAATGTGTGACCTATTTTTGGACAGGCTGTGTATACTGTATATGGAGATCAGTGGACAGCTGTAACTTTAAGGCCCGGAGCAGACCTGAGCGATCTGGGATCGCGCGGTCCTGCACAATTGCTGACAGCATTTGCCGCACAGCCCTATTGATTGCAATGGGGTAACATCCGCGTGGCAATCGCAGAAAAAAGGTGCATGTACCTTTTTGTTGCGATACATGATGCACGGCTATTTTAGAAAATAATTGCACCCACAGGGCGACCGTTGGCGATGGGCGACTCTGTGACCGCACAGCAATCTGCGCGGTATCCTGCACGATTGCCGCATGGTCACAGATGGCCTGGGTGTGCACCGGCCCTGATATGTTGGGTAAACACACTTTCTAAACAGGAGGGTGTTTATTCCAAGAGCTTGTTTTAGATATTACTTATCAACACCTGTCCATGTAGCAGAGACTAATTAGCTCCTGGTGGTGCCCCTCCACTCCCAATACGAGTGCTACTGTGCAAGGGGACAACAGTAGACTCATGAAGTAAAAAGAAAGATTTAGCCACTTATGATACAGGAATATACAACTTGAATTATATAGTGTCCTTTATTTTTATATAACCTCCTTGGTTTTCCAGATTTTCCAGAAACAGTAAATCAATCCAAAAATCTGTGCTACCGCCTAAAAACGTGACCAGCCTCACCTTTCCAAAACGTTGGAAGTTCTCTGTGTCTATCTCTTTTTTTATAAATTCTTTTATTGAACATTTTTGTCCATTGTGCATGGAAAAACATAGCAAAATCGGTACAACATTGGGGTGAAAGAAAACATCTTGTACAAAGGAAGGAAACACATAACAACCTCGGTCAAAGTAACCATTCAAAGCGTGGCGATTCCCTGTGGACCAGAGTGACATGCTTTAGGTTTGTTGATGTGCATTACCTCGGATTGATTGATAGATTTGGGCATATCAGCTTCTTAGGTTCGGCAAAACATGATAAGTTGTGGTAAATTTGCTCCAGTAAAACCACGTGGTCGCAAATTTGGAGGAGGTACCCTTGATTGAGCTGGTGAGGTCCTCCATGGTACGAATGTAGTTTATTTTAGTGAACCAGAGTTTGATCGATGGTGGGGCTTACTGTTTCCACAGCAGTGGTATACATGCACGTGCCGCATTTAGTAAATGTACCAGCACTGAGCGGGAGTACCCCTTCAATGGAAAGTGGTTATGGTGGAGGAGGAAGAATGCCGGATCTTCCGGGATTTGATGTCTGTAAATTTCTGGGATATCTGCCTTACCTGAGTCCAAACGGACATCAGTCTCGGGCAGGACCAGAACATATGAAGCATGTCTGCAGGGGAGGAGGCGCACCTCCACCATACATCCAGGACCTCGCCATACATCTGATGAAGTCTGTGGGGAGTTCTATACCAGCGGGTTAGAACTTTGTAACCCGATTCCTGGTATTTATTACAGATTGATGACTTCAGGGAGAGCCGTAGCAGCCTGGCGATTCCAGGTCTGCCTCTACTATCAATTTGGGATACTTATTGGAAGGACCTGAAAGGGATATAGAAAGCGTGGAAGGATATTTTCAACATTCAACATTACATCGACCCGTCCATGAAAATGTGTTCCGGGCCCACCCTCCCAGGTCCGATCTGACCCTCAGAAGTAGGGGAGGGAAGTTAAGACTGTACAGTTGCGTTAGGTCCAGAGGAATCCGTACTCCTAGGTACTTAAGGGAGGTGGGGGACCATTGGTAGGGAAAGTTTTTCTGGATACGTGTTAACATCTGGGGGGGTACCGTCAAGTTTAGGGCTTTCGATTTTTGAGTATTAACATGGAAATTGGATAGTTCGCCGTATTGGTGGAGGGCGGATACCAGGTTTGGTTTCGCTGTGTCAGGGGAGGTAATAAAAAACAGTAGGTCGTCTGCGTAGGCAGCAATTTTATGTTGGTGAGAACCCACGGTGATGCCCTGAATGTCTGGATGTGCCCGTACTGACCATAGCAGCGGTTCGAGTGTCAGGGTGAAAATGAGGGGAGAGAGCGGACATCCTTGTCTGGTGACATTACTTATGTTGAAGTAGTCAGATAGAGTACCGTTGACACTCACTCTGGCTGTGGGCTCAGAGTATAGGGCGAGTATCCAGGAGAGCATGCCCGGGCCAAGCCCGATATCAGAGAGGGGAGATATGGCAGGAGTCGTGTGGCGAGAACCTTATCGGGACCCTGTGGGTGACATGCGGCCCCTTGGATGTCCAGGATGAGCGGGTATGAGGCAAAGTGGGGCAGGAACCGGGAAGGCAGTAAGAGGTAGTGGCATCTCATTACTCAGAGGCCCGAAGTTGGTACAAGGCCAAGTCCGCAGTGCATACAAGAGCAGGAGTGGGTGGCTGGGAAAAGCGAGGAACAATCTCATCCCTTTCAGGATTCCGCTGCTTCCATCACAGCTTCGTTGGTCGGGCTGGAGTCTCACGAGAGGGAGAACGACGGGCCCGTCGGGTTCTGCGTGGCTTCGGTGCAGCGGCCTGGTCCTCCGGGAAGAAGCCCAGCCAGTTGTATGGCAGGAATTCCGAGGAACTCACACACGGCAGGCACATCCGTCCGGGAGCGGACCAAAAACGTGGAGCCTCCTTTGCGGACATGCAGACGGATCAGGTAACCCCACCGGTAGATGGCTCCAGCACGCCGAATCGCCTCCAGGAGAGGGCGCATGAGGGCCCGGCGGCGGAGGGTATTACGGGAGATGTCCGGTAAGATCTGCAGTGGGGCCCCATCGAACTCCACGGGTCTTCTTTAACCATGCTTGTCTTAGGATATGCTCCTTCATGGTGTAGCGATGCAGGCGGCATAGAACATCTCACGGGCGGGAAACATTCGTTGGTGGGGGTTCGACCGCGCGATGCACCCCGTCTATCAGGATGGAGTCCGGTGCCGAGTCGGGCAGGAGCGAGCCGAAGATGGCCTGGACTGAGGAGCGAAGATCCGCTAGTAGGGTCGCCTCCGGAAGCCCCCGGATCCGAATATTCTGGCGACGGTTGCAATCTTCCAGGTCCTCCATTTGCAATTGGAGGGTCGCGAGCTGGTGCGAGGGCCCCAGCTGGGCCTGTTCGAGGGGCTGGACCCGGGCATCAATCGCCGCACAGGACGCTGAAACCGTGGACACCTCCACGGACACTGCCTGTACCTTCTGGCGCACTTTACGCAAGTCCCGCTGGAGTGCGGCCTCCACTCTCGTGACTAGGGCCGCAAAGTCCTCATTTGTAGGTAAGTATTGCAGAAGGGCCCGGAACTCCCGCGGTACATCTGATGGAGGGTTGCGGGCTGGGTACTGATCACCATCAGTGGAATCCGAGTCATACATCCGAGGTGATCGTGAGCCCGGTGCCTCTCACTGGGGGCAGGTGAAAGAGATCGTTCTGTGCCTCATGGTGAGGATGGCGGCCCAGCTTCCGGCGCCATATTGGATTGGCCTCGGCTGCGGGTCCCGGTCTGCGTGGAAGAGAAATACCGCTGCAAGACGGGGTGCCTTGCTGCGATGGAGGTCCACCATCCTTCCTGCGCTTAGACATTGTCAGGTAGGACTGTATGGTGTGGTATAAGTAATGTTAGATCGTCTGTAAGTCGGGTGTACCAGGGAGCTCACAAGCCTTGCGACTTACTCCGCCATTAGCAGGACACGCCCCCTCTGTGTCTATCTCTATGCTGCTCAATTCTCATGTAATGATTGTGTGGCGTTCATAGTAATTGGTCATTGTTTTTGTTTTTCTCTATAGTGTGAATGTGAGAGAGTACAGACATCTCCTGGCTTTTATTTTTGCTGTGGATGAGATTAATAGAAGATCGGATATTTTGCCTAATATTACTCTGGGATATCATGTACATGATTCTTGCGGAAATGTAAATAAAGCTATAAGAGGAGTCATGCAGATATTGTCTGGACACAAAAAGACGGTTCCTAATTATTCCTGTATGAAAAATGGAAAACTAATTGGTTTTGTTGGAGATCTACATTCCAGCACCACTGTCCCAATGGCAAAATTTTTACATGTTTATGGGTATAGTCAGGCAAGTGACACTCATGTTATTTTAACCACTTGATGACCGGTGTGTTTAACCCCCTTCCTGTCCAGACCATTTTTCAATATTCAACACTAAGGTACTTTGACATTTATTTAGTCATGCAATGCTGTACCAAAACCAATGTTATACTATTTTTGGGGGGTCAGGTAGAGCTGATAATCACCATTGGGGCTTTTTTTTTTTACTAGAGAAAGAAAAATTTACTGACATTGAAAAAAAAAAAATTTTCCCTACATTATGTTATGAAACATTTATTATTACCCACTTTTTTGATAAAATGTAAAAGACGGGGTCACATCAGGTAATTAGACGCCAAACATGACAAGCTTTAAAATTGCGTGCACTTGTGGAATCTCAAAAATCTACCATACCCAAAATTGGTCAAAGGTGACCATTTTAAAAGCTTTTACCACTCATCAATTTTCTTTTTTTTAAATCAGATAATTTTTCTTAAGTTTTTCTTTAAACAGACAATATAAAACAAAAAAATTAACAACAAATATAACACAAATAAATAAGAAACAGCCAAAACTAATAACAATACCAAAAAAAAAAGAAACCCCACATCCACCATATGCAACTACTCATCAATGTAGTGTTAACAGTGATTGATGGTCCTAGAATTATTGCTCGTACTCCAACATTTTGTGCGGCGCAATCATCCTTTGTGCACAAAGGTTCACCTGATGTGTGTTTGAATCTGTATGTGCATGTATGGGGGCACCGGCTTTAAAAAAAAAATTAATTTTTTTATTTTTTTTATCTGCTTCTTTAATTTTTTAACATGCCCCCATGTGATAGCACAGAGACAACGACAGGTCCTCTTTATAGAGACATAAGGGATATATTAGACCCCTAACCTCCCTGGCGGTCTGATTATTTTATTTCTTTTTTCTTTTTTTGTTCTATCTTTTTTCACTTTTAACATTCCCGTCGGTTCAACCCCCCTGCGACACTCGCAAGGGACGAAACCCGGAAGACGGATGCCGGCATCGGCCGGAGGACACAGCGGGGATCGTGGACAAGGTAAGAGATGCTATGCTGTATTCCCGAGTGTGGCTCGGGGTTACAGCTTATGGTACTGCAAATTAACCCCGAGCCACACTCGGGAATACCGCCAAGGAGGTTAATGTCACCTAGGGACCCCAAAGAATCTGATGAAGTACAGATCTGCTTGATCAGCTTCTTCTCTGGCTACAGCTGCCGGAGAAATGACACCCTGTAATACACTTTGCTTCTGTGTTTAGTGACCAGAGGGAAAATCAGCTGGGGGAAGTGTGCTGATCTACCTCCGATCTCAGTACAGAGACCAACTGTACTGGCACTGGGTCCACAGAGGGGACAGAGGAGTTCAGAATAGCCAGCATTGGTGGATGGGGGGGCTGCACACTTATCCAGCACCATACAAGTGATCAGGCAAGTCTTTAGATGCCCAAACGCTTGTAAGTAAACAGGCATTGCAGGCTGTAAAAAAATGTACAACGTTTCCTTGGGTGTGCACCCGCATTTAAGTGCAAGCCTTGTGGCTGTCTAATTGCGATGGCCCGACAGCAAGCGGTTAAACGTATTAAAAAAGAAAAATGTCAAAAAAACACTGTAAGTGATGCTGAATTTATTATTGAGATAGTTGGCAAGAAAGCTGTAGCAACAAATAATCTTACTGGCCAATACATTCAATGGCTGCACATGTTAGAGCAGGAATATACCCAGAAATCATCTGGGGAATACCTGAGAACCGGATTGACCCATGGCAAAGAGTTTGGGGAACACTGCCCTATACCTTTATAAGTATATAGAAACATTCAAATGATCAATGCATACTCTTTTTTTTACAGCCATCACATGGGGCCAGATTTCCATTTCGGCCACCTGTAGGCATGAATTGAAATCTGTTTAGCCTGAGCCAACGCCCTAACCTGCTGTGGGACCCACCCGCTTTCACATGCAGAAAATTAAGTTTTACTTGTTTAGAAGAACATTGCATACATGTATATAGCAATACATCATCAAACAGGAAACATATATACCATAGAGAAGAAAACATATATACAGATAACTTCCTCTGTCTCACAGATAAGTATACATTCAGAAACATTCCACTACAGTGCTATCTAGTGCTCAAAAGACATAGAGGGTTATTAACTAAGGAGCTGAAGGATCTAGCCATCAGATTCCCCCCATTTTCACAGTAGGAGCCTTCTTCACATCAGCGGCATGACTTTGTGGGAAAAAGAGGCAACCCCGAGGAAGACAGAAGGCACACCAGGTTGAGAAAGGTTGCTCTAAACAATGCAACTGAGTTGAGTTCCATAGCTTCATCCCGGTTCTGGATACCGGGTACTGAAAAAATGTAAATCCTTTAATAGTAGGAATTATCTGGGTATGTGTGTAGAAATATATATATGTGTAATTTGTTATGTATTTATTATATTGTTCTAGATCAGTTATGGCGCGACCGATTCAGTTCTTAGTAACAGACATTTCTTTCCAAACTTCTTTCGGACTGTTCAAAATAATCAAATGCAATATGGCTTAATGGCAAAATTATTACATCACCTCGGATGGAATTGGGTTGGGATTATTTCATCGGATGATGACAGAGGAGAAGAAGAACTCCAACAACTGAGCAAACAGTTAGAAATGCAACAAATATGTATTGAATTCAAGATCCGTTTATCAGGTAGGCCTGATTCGAAACATCCATACATGATTATAAAGCAATCAACCACAGATATTATTGTCATCTCTGGAACACATACCTTTCATTATGATGTGTTTTTCTTTACAAAACCGCATGTTTTCATTGACAAAACATTCATACTTTTCTCTTCATGGTCAGATCGCACGGAGTACATCCTACCTGCAGATGTCTATATGCCATTTAACTGCAGTTTGTTGTTTTCTGCTCCAGAACATAACATCAAGGGTTTTAGTGAATTCTCCTCGATTGTTCATCCATCAGTTCGTCCACATGACATGTTACTGGAGGATATTTGGATAACTATGTTCAGGTGCTTCTCAAAAAATGGATTCAAGAATATTTTGTTACCAAAACTAACAGGCATAGGTCTTCATAACTGCACCGGGAAGGAACTTAGTTCACCACAACATTTTTTTCAAAATGACAAATCTCCTTACAATATTTACACTGCTGTACACAGTTTAGCAAATGCAATTGGGAGCATGTATAGCTCAGAAGCAAAAACTAAAACTTCACTCAAAGATAAATACAATATTGAAAAGGTGAGTATGAAAAAAATAGGGATTAGAAAAGGCTTCAGCAAAATGCATTGGAGTCAATAAGGATGACTAAGGGGTCTATTCACAAAGCTGCTGTAGGCAGCCGAGTGAATAACCGACCCGAAGTAAAGTGAGCCGAACGCTGTTCGGCTATTCACTTCAGGCTTGTACGGTTGATTTAAGCTGTACACCGACTAAAATCAGCCGTACATCGGCTTGCTGCGACTGGCTTCGAGTCGGCCAAACATGCTCAGCATGTTCGGCCGACCCGAAGTGCAGAAAAAGTCTGGATCGGCTGAGCCGAACCTCCGGCAGGCTACTCGCTGCTGTTCAGTCTATTCTCATAGATGACGAACAGCAGTGAGTGAATAGCCGAATGCCTGTGGTACCGAGCAGAATAGAAAAATAGTTTAAAAAGTAAAAAAAATTAAATAGAAAACGATTAGGCGGTGCTAGCAGTGACAGCTAGCTCCGCCCAACTGTTTTCTATTGGCTGGGCCGTTCTGCTGCCGTCAGAAAAAAAAGAAGAAAAACCACCATAGGAATGCATAGTTAGATTCCTATTGGCTATTTCCCTTTGCAATAGCCAATAGCAAACTAGCTATTGCACCTGCCCTCTGCTGCTGTCAATCACTAGAAGGGCACATGATGGAGAACTTAAGGTCCCCTCTGCTGATTCACAGCAGCAGTGGGCGGGTGCAATAGCTAGTTGGCTATTGGCTATTGCAAATTGAAATAGCCAATAGGAATGTAGCTATGCATTTCTATGCTGTTTTTTGTTTTGTTTTCTTTATTCTTACGTCGGCCGGCAACCCCGATGTCAGAAGAAAAAAAAAAGACAACAGAGCAGGGAAAGGTTTACTCTGCTCTACCGAGCAGAGTAAAACTTTCCGGGAGAAAATGTTTCTCTCCCGGGCGGCCGGGAGCCGCTATCTAATAGCGGGAGACTCCTGAAGCGTCTGGGAGAGTTGGGCTGTCTGGAGATCAGTGTCCCTGTTTACCTGGTAACCAGGGACGCTGATCTGTCTGTGCAAGTGGCCGGAGCCAGCCGTGAGATGACGGCTGGCTCCGCCCAGCAATCAGTAGTAGGCTGTCGGCCGGCCAGCTTCGGCTTTCACCTCGGCTCAGTCGAGCAGAAGCATATATAGTGAATACCCCCTACAGCAGCCCTTTGGTTCTAATGAACTGAAGGGGTCCTGGGGTCGAAGCTAGCGAAGGATCAGCCAAAGCTACGGCAAGATCCTTCGGCATCTTTGTGAATAGACCCCTAAATCTTCTTTTTAAGGGTGCTGTGGTTTTAAATGGCTCCTGGACCTTTAAAGGGACACTAAACTCAAGAGTTAAATCTCAAAAATGCATTCAAACACCTTAATTATTTAAAAAAATTATCTTATTTGTGTATCACTCGGCTGTAGATCCTCAAATCATCTCTGAATTGGTGCTGACACTGTCCTTCCCTATGCAGGGTGGCTACTTTTGTTCCCCATGGTCCCTGTGTGTGTTGTAAAGTAGCCACCTCTTCAAGATCGCTGTCTTCTTGTCTTAGAAAATGAATCATAATTATTGAATCAGAAACAAAATGTTTAATTCATGTTGTTATGCATTAATACAATGTCCCCATGGGTCGGTGTTTTTAGAAAGCGGATCATATTTTCTGGCAGAATGATGTTGACATAGAAGGAGATCACATACTTGCTGACCCTCCTGCTATGGAAATATTTATAAAAATATTTATTTATATAAAAATAGTTTTGAAGTTGAATCATTTGGTTCTCACATATCTAACTGTTAATAATTTCTACAGACCAAATTTGTGGCAACTTCTCTTGTATATCATTTCTTTGTCTGTTGTTTTTTGTTTTTTTTTTAAAAGGTGAGCAACTATTTAAAAAGAGTTTATTACAAAGATGCCCTCAATGAGGAAATCTATTTTAATGAAAAAGGAGAGCTGCCTACTTCACTGAGTCTTTTAAACCAGTTTATTACGTTGAATAAAACTCATGGTGTCTTTCATCGGAAACATTTTGTCCCATTTAATACATCTCTTCCTGAAAACCAACTAGTCAATTCACAGGCAATATTTTGGAAAAATAACAGAGTAAGAAAATGTTGTTGTCTTGTTGGGTAATCTAAACTGTCACATTGTAGTATCATTTTGTTCCTTATTAAAGTGACACTAAACTCCGGTGGTAAATCTTAAAAATACATTCAAGTACCTTCGCTATTAACAAAAATGTGTCTTATTTGTGTATCACTCGGCTGTAGAGCCTCAAATCATTTCTGAATTGGTGCTGACACCGTCCTTCCTTCTGGAGGGGGGCTACTTTAGTTCCCCATGGTCCCTGTGTGTGTTGTAAAAGTAGCCACTGCTCCAAGCTCACTCCTGTGATGGACTACAATCTCAATACAAAGTAGTAAACTAAATGTGAGATTGTAGTCCATCACAGGAGGGAGCTTGGAGCGGTGGCTACAAAGGTTTATCATATTGCATGTTTATGTGCCACTGCAAAATGTGGATGTGGTTCATGAAACTGCACATGTTAATAGTAATGATATCACAGGGATGGTTGGGAAACGTCCCACGTTTTTATTTAGGGGGCTATTCACTAAGCTGCAGCTGGATAAATAACCGAACTGAGCTAAAGCGAGTCGAAGCCCATCTGGCTATTCACTACATCCGCAAATAGCCATTTTTAGTCGGCTGCCTTTCAGCTCGCTTCACCTACCTGCACCTTAGCTGGGAGCAAAATCTGAAGTGAACGTTTGGCATTTCCTTCACTACAGTTCATCCCTATTCTCCAAATAGCAGCAGAGAGTGAATAGCCGGACGTTCACTTTATTTTTTATTTTCTTTAAAAGCTTTCAGTTCAGTGATTCCGTTTACTACTTCCAGAGGTAGTGTAGCAGGCATTAAACATATGCAATTTGTTAAAAGTTACAAAAAATAAAATAAAAACAGAGTGGAGTCCCATCCCCAATTGATAGCAGACCGTAGGTCTGGTAGGAATGTTAGGGGGACCCCAATGGCAAAAAAAGTGTGGGGTTCCCCTTAAAAGTCATACCAGACCCTTTAGGTCTGGTAGGTATTTAACCTCCCTGGCGGTATGATTATGGAGGATTTTTGCATGCCAAATCGGTACACTGTTTTTCATGGAAATTTGTTGTTTTATATTGTAGGCCTGTAATTCTTAGTAAATCTGAGGAATAACTCACCTAAATCTGTCCAAAACAAGAGTCTAGTAGACATCCCAGATATGATAAAGTTTGAAACACGACCGGCATTACAAAGCCTGATATAACTCGTCACGTACAGTGTACGTGGCCAGTCATATAGGCACAAAGTGACAGGACGTACACTGTACGTCTCCCGTCACGAAGGGGTTAAATTGTATTCTGTGTATTCTGTGTAAATGTCATGTTTTACTTTTGAATTTCCCACCGGCTCGCCCCCGCAGTGACGCCCGAAAACGAAACTGAAAGCAGAATGCCGGCATCGGACGGGCGCACACAGCAAAGGACACCGCGGGCTCGCAAGGACAAGGTACGTGACACTTTTGCGCTATCCAAAGCGTGGCTCGGGGTTACCGCTCTTGGTACTGAAGATTAACCCCGAGCCACACTCGGGAATACCGCCAGGGAGGTTAAGGGGTGACCCCAATGCCAAGGCAAAACAAAAGTGTGGGGTCCCCCCTAAAATACCCTTAATCCAAGCAGCAGCCTGGCAGAGCAAGAAAGGGGGGGCGAGTGTGTGCCGCACCTCCTGCACCATACAAGGCTACATGCCCTGGGGATGGGGGCGGTGCTTTTCCAGGGGAGACCCCCTGGAGTGCATATCACATAGTAGGCTAGAGTACACATCACATACTAGGCTGATCAGCCCCTTTTTGATAGCAGTAAAAAAATATACACTCATACAAATTCAGAACATACTATGGGTGAAATTTATCAAAACTGGAGCAGACAAAATCTGGAGCACATTTGCACTGCAGCCAATCGGCTTCTCTCTCTCATTTTCAAATCTTACCTGAGCAACCTGAAGAGAGATGCTGATTGGTTGCCAAGGGCAACTGCTCCAGATTCTGTCTGCTCCAGTTTTGATAAATCCCCCCCTATGTATACAGTAATACCTTGGTTTACGAGCATAATTTGTTCCGGAAGCATGCTTGTAATCCAAAGTGCTTGTATATCAAAGCGAATTTCCCCATAGGAAATCATGGAAATTCAGATGATTCGTTCCACAACCCAAAAATACTGTACTGTAATATAATACTGTACAAAATATAAAGAAAAATAAACCAATTACAGGTACCTTTGTGGCCGGTGTGAGGGGGACAAGAGAGAGGAGGATTATTGTGTAGGACGACTTTCACTGTCACTAACGGAATCACTGCTTTCTCTTGACTCAATGGAATCTTTTTCATTACGTGAAACCTTAACAAGGAATCTATCCAATGTGACATTGCATTGTCGTTAAACAGATTAATCGCTCGCACTGCTACAGCCTTATTCGGGTGGCGCTTTTCTACAAAATTTTGCTCTTATTGCAAGACATTGCTTGTATATCAAGGCAAAATTTTTCAGAAATGTTTGCTTGTCTTGCAAAACACTCTCAAACCAAGTTACTTGTAAACCAAGGTATTACTGTATATACATATAAAACACCATTGATTCCAGTGGACAATTTGCTACACTCTCATATTCATATTCACTGTACTGCAAGTGAATATTTTAGCTGGTAAATTCAAGCATATCTAGACATTTAGATATACAAGATTTGCTAGTACATTATAAATATTCCCCTAAGGGCTATACAGTATGTGGTAACATGTTCTTACTAAGAACTGGACGGCCACCAATTACTTTTAGACCTGCCCTGTAAGTAGGAATCTGGTTGGCAGCTGTGGAGATATAACTCTATACTCTATACTCTTATATTCACATTACATTGTGGCACTGGTCATAAAAATACACTCGGTAGTGGGCTGTTGGGTGCTTCAGTGCATGTACGTCAGAGCTGCGTTGCCTTAGTGTATTGGGGTGCAATAAAAAATGAAAAGCACAACAACCTGCAGCTCACTGGTTGCCAAGACCTGAGAGAGATGCCAGCCAGAGCATCACAGGTTGGTAAGGGCCATACATACAATATCTCCCTGCCCAGTTCTTAGCAGTTCTCTGGGACTTTCTGAAGAAAAAGGGGTCAGAAGGTACACGCCGTAGGCCATGCCACTCTGCCTGCAGACCCCCTTCCCCCACATGGCTCAGTATGCTGTTGGAGAATGGGTGGTTGGGAAGGTGCTGAAGTGCTTGCACATTCAAAGATAAAAAAATGCATGAAAAATGCATGAAAAATAACTACAAATAATTATTTAAAAAAGCTGTGTTCAGACTTTAATGTGATAACAGAGAGATTATGAAGCCATGGGAATGCTTGAACATGAAAAAAAATTTGTTAAAAAACATGCAACAATTTGACAACAAGTAATCAATAAAAAGGAAGCTACGGTACATTCAGACTGCAAAGCTGTTAAAGTTAAAATGATGCACACTATGGAATATAGTGGTGTCAACAAACCCCAGCTTACTATTGATATTATAATAATTATTATAATAATTACTAAAAGAGGGTTATTCACAAATGAGCCGAAAGATCCAGACGTAGCTTCGACTGATCCTTCGGCTCACTTCGGCCGCTGGAGCCCTTTGGTTCAGTAGAACCGAAGGGCTGCTGTACGGGCTATTCACAATAGCCCATACAGCAGCCGAAGGCAGCCGAGTGGCTCAGCCGAGCCGAACGCATATGCTTCGGCTCGGCTGAGCCGTAGTGACAGACGAAGCGTGGAGAGAAGTCGGCTGAAGCCGAGCCATCTCCATGCAAATGACAGCTGGGCGGAGCCAGTCGTGATGTCATGGCTTACTCCGCCCAGTTGTAATGACAGATCAGCATCCCCAAATGACCTGGGGATGCTGATCTTTCATTAAACAATGCTGTCATTCATTGGCCGGGACCTGCTAGAAGACTCTGGCAGGTGCCGTCCAAAAGGAAACAGTTGAGCGGTGCTAGTGGTGATGTCACCTCTAGCTCCGCCCCAATTTTCTTTTATCGGCATCTGTCAGATGCTTCATTATGCGGCGGGAGTTTGTTGCATGCGGTCGGGTTGTGTCGTTTTTTACATTATTTTTTCATTTTTATTTTCTTTAAAATATTTTTATTTTTCACATTTTCCTCTTTTTTTCACATTTTAAAAATAATTTTTCAACATTTTTTTTCCCATTCATTTAACTCTTTTTCTATTTTACTCACTACCTCAGAGGTACCGAGCAGAACAGCCGAGCGGCATTCGCTCAATTACTTACTGCTGTTCAGTCCCTATGAGAATAGGGGCGAACGGCAGCGAATGAGCTGCCACAGCTTCGGCTCAGCCGATCTAGATGTCGGATCGGCTGAGTCGAACTCCTTCTGCACTTTGGCATGTTCGGCTGACCGAAGGCAGCTGATGTATGACTGATTTTAGTCTGTGTTTGGCTGAAATCAGCCGTGCAAGGCTGAAGTGGATAGCCGAACAGCATTCGGCTCACTTAACTTTGGCTTGGTAATTCACTCGACTGCCTTTGACAGCTAAGTGAATAACCCCCTAAGTATCCACTTTCATATAAATTCAGATATAATACAAGCAGAGGCCATTTTATAGCAAAGCTCAAGCATTTTTTAAGATACCTTTTTTTTTCTTCTTTTTTCCCTGTGACCTAGTTTCCATGTGGTCGGTGCACTTCGAGTTGCTTACCAGGATACAGAAAGGTAAAACAAAAAGGACACCATATATGTTGCTATGACTGTATTCCGTGTTCAGAAGGAGAGATGTCTGATGTGACAGGTACAGTTGTCAAAATTATACTGTTATAAAGTAATTAATACCGTGTTTCCCCGGAAATAAGACAGTGTCTTATATTTTTTTTTCCACGAAAAAAGACACTAGGTCTTATTTTCGGGGGATGTCTTACGTGTACCTGGCTGCAGCTGTCCGCTCTCCGCTCGTGCGTGGGGGAGGGAGCTGCGGCCGCTCTCAGCACTATTGCCGTCAAGGGAGCCAGACAGGTGGGCGTGCGGGGAGGCGTGCCTGGCGGGGGGCGGGAGGGAGCTGCGGCCGCTCTCTGCTCCAATGCCGTCCATGGAGCCAGAAAGGTGGGCGTGCTGGCGGGCGGGGGGAGGGAGCTGCGGCCGTGACATGTAAAACGTAATTATACGGTGCAGCTACCCCGGAAGTAAGATCTAGCGCTATCAGGGATTTCTGTAATATAAGACCTACCACCGAACTAGGTCTTATTTTCGGGGTAGGTCTTATATTACAGAAATCCCTGAAGATAGTGCTAGGTCTTACTTTCGGGGTAGGTCTTACTTTCGGGGAAACACGGTATATGGAAAATTGCCTTGTAGAAAATATATAGGGACTCTTCACTAAGCAAAGTAAAATGTGCATTTTTCATAAATAAAGTATATCTAATTTAACTTTAAATATCCAAGAATGCACAAGGGACATTTAAAAAAACAAGATTTTGTTCAAGCCCAACTGGTTTTGGAAAGACTTGGAAAAAGTAAATCTTTTTTGGCAAAATGTTATAGCTGTTCATGAACCCATTGGGGAGATTCCGCCTCAGTTGATGTTCCTTTAACAGCTTGTGATGTCAGGACAGAACATACAATAATGAATGTGATTGTGACCAGGGCAGGGAGTCACACATGCTAACAATAGTCTTTAATATTATTATTATTATTATTATACAGGATTTATATAGCGCCAACAGTTTGTGCAAGGAAGACATTACAATCACAATACATGTCAAGACAAGATGGTAAGGAGGGCCCTGCCCCTGATGGCTTACAATCTTAATATATGAACAAATCCACCTTGCACACACAACTCCACAGGAAACATTATGTATATTGTTCAAGGTAAGTGGCTCACGACAGGCTCCACTGCAACATTTACCAGTGCCAGTCCACCTCATCAGACTCTGGCAAATCATTACATTCTCTGGTTACCTCGTGATGTAATACATACCTATACCACTTTGACTGTTTGAGAGATATTACCTTACCTCCCCCCCCCCTGCCCATCGCCTTGCCTTATTCATTCTACAACCCACCTCAAGCCTATACTCCTACCTGGTCTACTGGTATTTTATAATGATTTCTCAAGAATCCAGATAGGAGTAGAGGACACTACTTGCATCAGAATCAAGATTTCTGGTAAGCAACAAAGTAAACAAATACCGGTAATTGAAGGTCCTAGTGGCACTCCTCTTGTGAGATACTCTTGGTATTTCAATATTAATATCATAATAGAGCATGATAGAGTATAATTGCATTTTACTTGTTTTACTCACCTACTGTATTTATGTTGCAAACACATCTATGTAACATGTATAATAAGGGCAACGGCATGTATTTTCTTTTCCCTTTTCTGTCATCTATGTATTTCCTTGAAAAAAAAATTAATAAAATATTTAAATGAAAATAAAATAAAAAATTCTCTGGTTACCTCCAAGCCAAACTTGCCCAGCCTATGATTTTATTGTACTTGAAATTCATTGAATGGCCAGTGTGCTGACAATCTGATATGTAAAGTTTGCCTTTTATTATATTATTATACAGGATTTATATAGCGCCAACAGTTTGCGCAGCGCTTTACAATATAAGGAAGACATTACAGTTACAATACAAATCAAGACAATATGGTTAGGAGGGCTCTGCCCATGAGAGGTGGTAGCTGTGTGGGGATGAATTCTTTGAGAAAGTGATAGTTCAGTGGTTATTTAGAGTTGGGATAGGCTTCCCTGATGAGATGAGTCTTCAGGGATCACCTAAAGGCAGATAGAGTAGGAGATAGCTGGACAGGTTTGGAGTTCCAGATGCTGGGAGACTCTAGCGAAGTCTTGGAGGCAAGCATGGGAGGAACTGATGAGGGAACTAGAGAGCAGGAGGTCTTGAGAGTAGTGGAAAGGACGGTTAGAGTGATACTTTAAGACAAGAAAGATATAGCTGGGGGAAGAGTTGTGGATGGCTTTGTAAGTCATTGTTAATATTTTTAATTTGATCCTTTGGGTGATTGGAAGCCAGTGGAGAGATTGGTAGAGGGGGGTTGCAGACACTGAGCGGTTGGTTAGGTGGATGAGTCTATCCCCAGCATTCATGATAGACTGAAGGGGGATAACCTGTGTAGAGGCAGGCCAACAAGGAGGGAGTTGCACTACTTAAAGCAGAATTTCAAACAAAAATAATCTCATAAATATGAAAAGCCCATAAAAGAATAACCAACCCCTATGTCTGTGAATGTTTTCATGTGTCTAGGTCATGCCATTTACTGTAGATGTTGTATAACAGTTTTTGAGCTCAGGTAGTTGATGGCGTTATAGCTTAAAATGTCTGCTATGGCAGGGAGGGAGTAAAAGCGAGCTATATAAAAAAAATATATTGATAGTCAAGTAATACATTTTACTGTGCAATAATATATATTTTCTTTCATTCAGCCTCTTCTTTACTGAGTTTTACAAGGAATACAAAATTAGCACATAAAGTCAAAACATTGCCACTTGCAAATAGAAGCATATTGGAAGAAAAAGTAGTAACATTGGTGTGTCTGGATCTCCAGTTATCGTAAAACTCAAGTATCTCTAATCTCACACACCAACAAACCTAGTAAAAACATCAGAAACATAGAAAACATGGCTCAGGTCAATGTTGAAATGGTTGAACAAGCCCAAGACCCAAATCGTGAGCGTACTTTAGGATCCATAGAGGTAGTTAAAGGCATTTAAGAAAATAACAAGTCTAAAACATTAGTAAGGGGGGAAATAGAAATTGTAGGGTAGAGAACAAAGTTGCAATGGCATAAATTTCCCCTGAAGAATCCCTCCAAACTTGTTTCATGAACACCCCTTCCTCCTGGAGTTCCGAAACCCAAGGATGCCCAAGATCCTAGGGCTTTATTACGAAAAAAAGGTGGTAAAGGTCAGGTTACTGGCAGGTCAACTGCTTGAAGTCAAGAGACTCTCTGAAAGTCAACCAGCAAGGCCAGGTTTCAAGGGCCCAATCACTCCTATTCTGGTCAGATGCAACCAGGGTCTCCATCGTATACATATTATTCAAAATCTGCACCCATTTAACCAGTGCAGGTGGAGGAAATAACTGCCAGCATCTAGAGATGGCCACTCTGGCTGCCAATAGGCAGTGATGCAATAATTACATAGTTACATAGTAACATAGTTACATAGTATTTGAGGTTGAATAAAGACATTAGTCCATCAAGTCCAACCTATTAGGATCTCATTCTAGGAGTACCTGTACCCCTGTATATTACCTGTACCCCTGTATATTACCTGTACCCCTGTATATTACGGTCCCTTAAGAAATCGTCCAAAAGTTTCTTGAACAATTCCACATTATTTGCTGAAATCACCGCCTGTGGCAGTGAGTTCCAGACCCTAACTGATCTTACTGTGAAGAACCCCCTTCGCCCCTTGTGCTGGAATTTTTTTTCCACCAATTTTAGGTGGTGGCCTCTAGTTTTTGTAACGGAGTTAATTTTAAACAGTTTATCGCTAATGTTGCTACCACCATTGAACATTTTGTACATGGAAATCATATCCCCCCTTAATCTCCTCACCTCTAATGTGAACATGTTTAAATTTAGTAGCCTTGTCTCGTAGCTCTGGTCCTCCTTCCTAATAATTCCTTTCCTAACTTGGAGAGGACCTGTTATCACTGATAATAATGCCCCCCAAAGGAAGGGTTGAATAGCAGAGATACACATACATCGATAGCAAGCATAGACTTTAGCCAGAAACCCCAATGATATCTGCACAGTTTCAGCACATTCCCCAGAGCATCTCAAAAATCATGTTTTAAAAATGATTTTTACAGACTGCCGATTTGTAGTGACTTGAAGTGATTATGACATGACTCCTAGAAGTCCATGATTAACTTTGTGTTTTTTATTTCTAGACAGTGAAAATTGTCACAAATGTCCTGAAAAGGAATGGCCTAATGAGATGAAAGACAAGTGTGTTGCTAAAACAACGGAATTTCTTTCCCTGGAAAAAGACATTTCAGCTGTAACATTTTCAGTCATATCCGTGTTGTTTGCTGTCATAGCTGACGTTATTCTTGGAGTTTTTATAGCGTTTCGAGACACGCCAATTGTCAGAGCTAACAATCGGAACCTCAGTTTAATTCTTCTTATTTCTATCAAGCTCAGTTTACTTTCTATCTTCTTATTCCTTGGTCATCCAGTAGACATCACTTGCATGCTTAGACAAGTCACCTTCGGAATTACTTATACTGTTTGCATTTCTTCTGTCCTGGCCAAGACTATTATGGTTTGCATCTCTTTCAAAGCTACCAGACCTGGCAGTACCTGGAGAAAATGGCTAGGGATCAAACTGGCAAACCGTGTGCTACTGATGTGTTCCACGGTTCAAGTGCAGATTAGTATTGTATGGTTGTCGGTCTCACCCCCATTTCAGGAGCTTGATGTGAACTCTTATCCTGGGAAAATCATCATTCAGTGTAATGAAGGTTCCGTTTTAGCCTTTTATTTGATGTTGGCTTATATGGGATTTCTGTCAGCTTTGAGTTTTGTACTTGCTTTCATGGTGAGGACATTGCCGGATGTCTTCAATGAGGCCAAATACATCACCTTCAGCCTGCTGGTGTTCTGCTGTATTTGGACTTGTGCCATTGCAGTTTACCTGAGTAGTAAAGGGAAGCAGATGGTCATTGTAGAGATTTTTGCTATACTGACTTCTAGCATTTCAATATTATGCTGTATCTTTTTTCCTAAGTGCTATGTTATATTAATGAAACCTAAACTGAACATCAGAAAACAAGTGATGACAAATCGTTCAATAAAAGCAGAGCCTATAAAACCATAGGCATTTACATCTTTTATAGTTTTACAATTAAAGTTAAATGTCTGTTGTAATCAAACAAACAAAATAAATAGAAAAATATCAATATCAATGTATTTCTTTTATTTTACGGCACAATTAAACTTACAATTATTGTAACACTACGTCTACAGCTCTTTCCTGAGAAATATAATTTAGTAAGTTCAGAAAAACAATCATTTTTTTTCTCAACTTACTAAACTCTATAATGAATTCAGGTCAAACAAATATACATCGCCCAGCAAAGTATTTCTTAAGGCTAGGTTCACTACACTGCCCGGGTGTCATGCACTACACTGCGCGACACCCGGGCCGTGCGACCCGTCGCCGGACGATTGTGCACACAGCGAGTGCCGCTCTGCCCCATTGATTTCAATGGGGTGACATCTGCTCGGCAATTTCTAAAAAAGGTACAAGTACCTTTTATTAGCCACTATCGTGTTCAATTAGACAGACAGAATCGCGGCGGGAAACTGCGCAATTCGCACAGAGTGACTGTGGTGCCATTCGAAAATAATGGCACCCACAGTGCGATCGGTTCACACCTTGGCGACTCCTGATTGCGCAGCAATTGTGCACAAAACAAGAGTCGTCTAGGTGTGAACCTAGCCTACATTTCTGTCCAAGCACTTACAGTCATCATGTTTCCAAACAACTTCAACTCTCTCATCTCCACTTCCCTGAATTTCCTGTCCAGTGCAACATCACAAGGGGCCAGCACAGCTTCCAGCAGCTGTCCATCTACTATCCTGCAGAAGGGGGTAGAGGGAGAAGAGTAGGGAGGAGGGAAGAGAAAGGAGCAGATGCTTGGCTTGCCTTGCTGTGCCTGTATGTATGTGGAGATAGTGGATAGTTGACTTGCTGCACTCCTTAATGGAAACTCCCAATCACGGGGGTGGGGGGGTGTTGGGGCATATATACAGGGCTTGAAAAATTTGGCGATGTCTCACCAGTCAGTCAAAAATTTCACCAGTCAGCATGACCGGACTATAGCCTTGCAATATATGTTAAAAAATTTTGGGGACAGATAGAGCTTTGTTTTGTGACCCCAAGGGGGTTTTTTTTTTAACTATATAATGAAAAAAGTACCATAAATGTTAAAAAAAAAAGTTTACCCATGTTATAAAACATTTATTCTTAGCCATATTTTTAGTACAACATAAAAATCGGGGTCACGTCGGGTAAAAATAAAAAAAGAATGTGACAAATTTAATCATGCTGAATGAGACTGTGCAATATAAATACAGGTCCAGTGTCTGCTCTTTCATACACGCATAAGGGTGCAGAAGATGCCACTTGGTATAACCATTCTGTCCTTGGCACCTGAAGACTGTATCGTATATGTTTTACAGTTCTATGTACATCGTCCTTTCTTATGAAGCCATGTTACCGATAACAGTTACTTCACTTTTGCTATGTCTGGTAATCTTAAATGTGACACAGTGTACATTCTGTACTTCATCGCAAGCCTGTAGATTAAAACTCAAAGCTGCGATTGAGGACTACAAGAATTTCAAAGGGGGAGACATTATCATTGGTGGAATTTTCACTGTGAATTACAATATGGAAGATTTGCAAGTTTTGAAATTCGATAAACGAATGTTTTGCTTTGGGTAAGTCTACATTTTAAACAATATTTTAGAAATCTGTCTCACATACCCATGCATACAGATAACTCACAGTTTTTTGCTACAGGAACTTTGTTTAGTATTAATAAATACTGTTAAACATGCACTGAAAGCAATATGTGAACTGCCAGTGTGGACTCTTGCTTTAAAAAAAAAAATATTTTGCCTGATTGTCTTGCTAATCTTTTTGCTTCAACACTTTCTGAGTCATTGGTATGGAGGTATGCTGACCAGGACATGAGACTATATGCTGAATGCTAGTCTATACTTGTTCTGGAGGGTTGATTTAAAAAGTATTGAAGTCAAAAGCTGGCTGTCAACTAATATTTTCAGCAGAATGATGGCAATTGAAGCTATATATTATTTAGACGTTTTCAGGTACACTTAGCTAGTATTGGGTTGGACCCCCTTTTTTCTTCAGACGTGCCTAATTTCTTTGTGGCATAGATTCAACAAGATGCTGGAAACATTCTTCAGAGGGTTTTGACATGATAGCATCACGTAGTTGCTGCCAAGTTATCAGCTGCACAACATGATGAGAATCTCCTGTTGTACCACATCCCAAAGGTGTTCTATTGGACTGAGTTCTGGTAAATATGGAGGCCATTTGAGTACAGTGAACTCATTATCATGTTCAGAAGATGGGTATATTGTGATCATAAAGGGATGGACATGGTCAGCAATAATACTCAGGTAGTCTGTGGCATTTAAAGGATGCTCAATTGGAAGTAAGGGGCCCAAAGTGTGCCAAGAAAATATCTCACACACCATTACACCACCACTAGCCTGAACCATTGATACAAGGCAGGATGGATCCATGCTTTCAATTAGGGATGCACTGATACCAGAACCGATACTTGGCATTTCATGAGAACTACCAGGGTTGCAGTGGTAGCAGCTGGGACCTGGCTCTGGCGCTCCACCACTGTCCTGAAATCATTAGACTGTATTGTTTTAGAAGAACTGTCACATGACAATAAACAAAAATGTATCAGTACTCGTATCTGTGAGTACTTGGGCAAGTATCAGTACTTGTACTGGCAAAAATAGTATCAGTGCATCTCTTTATATATGTTTATAAAAACAAAATAATACAGAGATGTACAAATCTCAGGAGCTCTGTGTGCTCCTTACAAATGACAGCTGCCTCCCAACTTTAGAATTTTTATCTAGTCTAGTCCTGGAGCTGGAAAAGTATCTGTATTTGTACCTGTACCGAGTACGGTACTTGGTATCGGTGGATCCCTACTTTCAATGGAGTCCAATGTTTAGACTCCACTTCAAAATCATCTGGGCTTCAAGTCCAAAGGTCTGAAATCCACGGGTAAAACAGAAAACACTATTAGGCTGTGCTAAGTCAAAGAAAAAATATATATAAAAAAAAAAACACATTTGTGTCAATGATGATGATACTGCCCGGTGACACTTTATATTTCAACGACCTTGACTCATGAGTCTTGTTTACATTTACAGTTCTCTCGCAGCCAGTTACAGATATGTTCTGGATTTTCATTTTGCCATCGAGGAAGTTAATAATGATCCTGAAATTTTACCGAATGTGACACTTGGATATCTCCTGTATGACTCTTGTTCCAATGAAAACAAAGCTGTAAAAAGTGTGTTGCAGATAGTTTCTGGACCTTTGAAGACCATTCCTAACTATTCCTGCTGGGGACATGGACAACTTGCTGGTTTTATCGGAGATATGTTTTCTGTAACCACTATTCCTGTAGCCCAAATACTAAGTATATATGGGTACTCACAGGTGAATGCCAATTTATTTTGTTTGCTTTTTATCCTTCAAAGCTACTAAGAGCTGTTACTGAATATTTTGTAGTGTCACAGCAAAGTTACTATATGGATGACCTAATCTACACCAGGGGTTCGCATTTGAGGTATCAATATCCCATGGGTGCATGGAAACCAAATGATGGGAGTATAGGATATGATCTCTGAATAATTTAAATAAAATTGAAACAGGATTTTCTGCATTACTGAACCTGTAATCAAAGTGGAGTAATAGGCCTGATGTTTCAGATTATGTTACAAGTAGCTGTACCTTGTTTCCATGTTTTAATTACAGATAACAGAAAAAATATCACTAGTTGTGATTAGCTTCAATATTTGTAATTTGCCATTTTTAAATAAACAAATACATATATAAAATACTCATAATTGTTTATGCTTTTGTAAAGTAAAAATAATTTCTAATATATCTAAGCTATCCAAAGGTAAAACAAAAGAAATTCACTAACATCTTTTGAATACTGGTACGTATGGCTATCCATATGCAACATTAAACAAAGCAACTGACATCTTTTGAAGTGATACTGGAGTCTAATGAAAAAAAAGTGATGGTTAGGCATGAATAAAACTGTCCCATTTCTCATTTCCCATTTAGCAAAATGCATTGGAATCAATGGGGAAGGATAATTTATGAGGAGAGTGCCCAAACTGCGACCCAAAATCAATGTATTTATCTCAAAGTGCCAACACTGAAAATAGCTTTACTATTGCGTTGCAGTTTGGGCGCTCAGGTTTAAAAAAATTTCACCATCATCACCGCCTCAGACAAAATAAGGAAACACACACATTCAAATATTTATACACTCATTAACCACTTGCTGCCCGGAGCAATTTCTTACATTTGCACACATATGATAAAATCTGATTTTTTGGGTAGAAAACAGCTTCGGACCCCCAAACAATGATATATTTTCTGAAAGCAGAGGCCCTGTAGAAAAAAAGATACTAGTTGCAATTTTTTATGTCGCACGGTATTTGCGCAAATGTTTATCGAACCAGTATTTTTAGGATAAAATACACTAAATTACATTTAGTGCACAGAATCAGAATATAATGGCTAATTTTTTGGTACAATATAAAAGACAGGGTCACGCCGGGCAAATAGATACTAAACATGTCAAGCATCCATGAAAACACCAAAAACTACAATAACCGAAATTTTCCATAAGCGACGCTTTAAATGCTTTTACGGCTCATCAGTTTAGTGCTATCAGTGATTGATGGGCCGAGAATTATTGCTCACTCCGACGCTCGCGACGATACATAACATGTGGCGTAATTTTTGCATGTTTGCACATCCAACGTGTGTTTGTGTTGTATGTGCGTGCGTTTTTTTTGCATTTTACATTTTTTTTAATGTAACATACATTTTTACCTGTTTTTTACACTCAGCTTTATTGCTATCACATAGCGGGCTAAAAATCCCTTATGTAATAGCACATATAATGTGACAGGTCCTCTTAATGGAGACATCAGGGGTTTTTCATATCCCTAATGTCACCTAGGGACCCCAAAGAAGCTGATGAAGCAGAGATCTGCTTCACCAGCTTCTTCTTCTGACTTAAAGGGGTTGTCCACACCACTTGCAGTGCGTCCCGGCCCGATTCCGGCCGGAACGCACTGCATCACATTGTGGCCGGCTCAATTTTTGCCGGGTAGGAGGGGGAGTGGCGGGCCATTGAAGTGAACAGGCCCTAGACTGTGTACGGTGACACGGGAAGTGATGTAATGCACATCACTTCCAGGTCCAGTGATCGGAGGAGAGATCCGCAGCTAGAAGCCACTGATCTCTCCTCCGATCTGTCAGGGGAGAACCTCCACGCGCGGCCTGGGCTCACACGAGGGACAGATGAGCCCAGGAAACTGACGGTGGCACCGGCGGCCGTGGAGGAGGGGGGCACAGCTCTGCACCACACAAGCGGTTCAGCGCCTGTACAGACGCCGGATTCACTTGTATTTAAACAGCAATCGCCAGCTGTTTAACATGGTACAAGAACATGGCTTCAGGAGCAGCCGTGTTCTTGGTATAACCACTTGCGGATGACGCACAGTTACGTGAACCCGTGGGAAGTGGTTAAAAAAAATCAAACCAAAAAAACCACACGTGTAATGAAACACACACATATCCCACACACTCATTAAAAAACACACACATAGCTTAATAATAAAATAAAAAAATCACACACATTCATTAAAACACACACAATAAAACACACACACATTAACAATTAAAATAGTTATTTAAACAAACGTCTCCCTCTTCTGCTTACCTGTTTTGCAGGAAGGGGGGCTGCATCCCTGAATCCATTGGAGAATCAGTGTGATCTGCACTGTGGCTGATGCAGACCATACTAATCGATCCCTGACAGTTAGCAGAGGCACCACGAGGGAGCGATCAGTATGATCTGCATCAGCAAGAGATGCAGATCATACTGATTCCCACTGGACCACCAGGGAATGATTTTCATTCAATATATTGCCTGTTCGGCAATATATTAAATGATATGTGGGCACTTGCCAGGTTTAAAGATATTGAAAAACGAATGTACAGTGGAGAGACCCCCTGGGGACACCGGAGGAGGCATCCCAGGTGAGGGTCTGAAGCGTACGTGCCCGGGCCCCTTACATCAATATCGGCCATACCCCCCTGATGGCGGCCCTGCAGTGATATCACGACTGACTCTGCCGAGTTGTCATTGTATTGACAGTTCAGCATCCCCTGGTTACCTGTTAACCAGGGGACGCTGAACTAATGACAGCCCGGCGTGACACCTCAGCTAATGACACCTCAGCTCAGCTATGCTTTTCCTACATTACAGGTCAATTCACATGTGTCTGTTCAGTTCAGTCTTGCTTCAACCGGTGATGTGTACATACAGGTTGTCATTGTATAATCAGTTCAGCATCCCCTGGTTACCTGGTTGCCACGGCCGGCTCTGCCCAGCTGTCAGTTGTGAGGCTTGGCCTGCTTCGGGGTTTCACTTCAGCTCAGCCGAGCCGAAGCATATGTCTTCAGCTCGACTGAGCTGCTTGGCCAGCTTCGGGAGCTGTACGGGCTATAGTTGTCCGTAGCTAGCCGAAGGATCAGCCGGAGCTACGGCTGATCCTTCGGCTAGCCTTGTGAATAACCCTCATAGTTTTTTCTTGCTGTTGAGGTTTTTTTTAGACAATATTAAAAAACTGAGGTTCAAATACAAACTTTTGTACTTTTAACAAGTGCAGGTTGTTTAACCAACTAAGGAAACAAAAAGAAAACCAAAGCGCCACAAAAAAGCACAACAACTTGGGTGTGTTGGGACAAGGAGTACAAATAGTAGTATACCCACATGTGGGAAGGTGGATATGGGCATCAGTACAGTAACATCGTAAAAGTGGTGGTATTGTAGTGTAGTTGGGGTAGGTGTTGGTCCTCTAGGGTAGTACAACACTTACCCCAACTACACTACAGTACCACCACTTTTACAATGTTACCGTACCGTATAAAGCCCATATCCACCTTCCCACATGTGAGTATAATACTATTTGTACTCCTTGTCCCAACACACCCAAGTTATTGCGTTTCCTTTTTTGTTTCCTTGGCACTCACGTAGGCCACCCCGGTCTGCACATACCAGGAGCTGCACACCAGCAAACGACACCATGATCTCCCTGGAGAATGCTAAAAATATTGGACTTTCTCTTTGTAACTTTTATATATTGTTTATCAATCTCCCTACTGCCGTACTGTAAAAAAAATTAGTGGGGAGGTGAATGAAAATTTCTGAAATTACATCTACAGATGTCCTTCTACAAATGGTCTCCACTGAACCCACTCATCTCTGTGTACCAAGCCGTCCTCTGAAAACTCATAGCATCCTGCTACTGTATGTGATCTGTACATTAATGGCTTCACATGCAGATCTCTCAACATGTTTTAACCCCCCTCATTACCACCACATTTTACATTTCCAAAAAACTTCTGCACAAAATGAGATCACCTTGGGGTGTCTACTTTCCAAAAAAGGTGCCATTTCAGTGGTGCTCATACTGTCTTGGCATTTTTTTAACAGGAAGTCAGGGATTCAAATATTCAAGAATGTTGGTATTTTTCCAATCTATAGTAAAGATATAAAAATCCCGGTATTTATTAAATATCCCCAAAGGAAAGCTCTATCTGCCTCCAAAAATGATATAAAATACCTTTGGGTACAGCGTTGCATTTCGGAATGATTGTTAGTCAAACTATCACAGCGCTGGAAACTAAAAAATAAAGGGGTAATGAAGGGATATTTACAGGCTGGTACTCAAGCAGTTCCAATTGCAAGTTGCTATTGGAATTATTTTTTTTAACATTGTGTAAAAAACTCAAACCAAAACAAAATACGCAAACATATGTGAAAAGTGGAAAGGGGCATACAACTATTATAATTTTTACTTTTACTTGAACTAAAGAATGTGCATTTGATATTTGTAAACAGATGTCCATTTATATAGTCAGTGTGAATGTCACCACAGTGGAGTTGATTCACTAAAGGCAAATAGACTGTTCACTTCACTGCATTGGAATCTGCACTTTTCAGGTGAATTCTGTATTAGCTTAGTGAATGTGGTGAAAATTGACTTTGCAAAGAATACCTAATCATGAGCAAGAAGAGTTAAAAAAAAACCTTAAAAACTGTATTTGTGGTTGCACATGATTAGATGATGAAACTTAGCAGAGCCTCGCATCATTCATTAAGCTATGGGTAAAGGCCCATGCAAAGTGCAAATTCCCTTGAAAAGTAGACAGCCCATTTGCCTTTAGTATATCAACCCCAGTGAGTCATTATGTCACCTTTTCAAAATCTATTCAGCAAGGTTTACCTGGTGTTTGCAACCAAAGATTAAGCACCAATGTAGAGTAACACTCCTCCATCTTGCTTTGAAGCCCTCAAGGTCTCCTCAAATCAGAAGAGGTTGTGATCAATTAGGGGTGTATTTATAAACACTTCACAAAGCACACTCTGTGTTCATTAGTTTTGTGCAAATAGAGGCACAAATGAATGATCTTAGTATATTTTAATTTAGAGTCAAATGTAATATAACAACACACTACATTACTACCACTAGGTGGAGGTGAGGAGCATAGAAAATTAGTACATTTTCCTATGGCACTCAGGTCCACTTAGTGGCCATAATGCAGTTTTTTCATGATATTGCATTTGACTTGGAAAGACATTATACTAAGAACTTTGTTGTTTTTTTTCCCACCATTCCCACAAAATGAATATTCAGGGATAGAAGAATTTCTCTATACATTGTTTGTAGAATCATGTCTCAGTGTAGTTGAACAGTTTAATATTGGTTCTAGGGTATATGGGTAAACAAAGATCCTTTACAATAAAGTATATCACATCTTTGATTTTATCATTCCCAGATGTCACTACGTTAGAAATATATTATGTCTGTGATGTTCATTGCCACTGACAGACACACAGTGAAGAATGTGAAGAGTGATTTTGACTACATTTATTTTACCACAAAATCAGTAAACTTGTTTGGGCAGAATCTCTCAAATTATTTTTAAAACTGCTATTAAAATATATATATTAAAGTATTGTAATAAAACATACACAAATTCATTTGTTTTCCCTTTTTTAGATCAGCTATGGTGCTACGGACACTGTACTCAGCAACAGAGCCGTCTACCCATATCTTCTTCGTACCTCACACAATGACAATATATATTTTAGTGCTGTAACAAAGTTACTTACGTTTTTTTCGTGGAGCTGGGTTGGGATACTTACTAGTGGAGATGACAGTGGACACAAAGAAAGCAAAATGCTCTCTTCCATTCTTCAACATCAGGGCATCTGTGTTGAATTTATAGTTAAGGTTATTTTAATAAATCACTTTCACGTGGATAATCCAAGCAGATACACAATAAATGAGAAAAACAAGGAGATTATTTCAAAATCAACTGCAAGCGTCATTATAGTGTGTGGGACATTTTCCTTCTACATAACTCGAGCTTTGGAAATACCAGATGCCGTAATTGACACAAAGATTTTCATTCTCCCTCCCACCTGGTTCAGTAACAATGAACTGCTTCATCATTCCTTTGTTGTTTTTAATTGCTGCTTGGGCTTTCTGTTCAACATGGACATTCGAGAAAGGTCAAACACTAGTAGACCACTGTCCAATAATCCATATCAAACAGGTGCAATGAAACAGTTTCTACAGGGCATCAGTTTATACAAGAACCCTCAAGATAAGTTTCTGGAGGATATCTGGATGACACGATTTAGGTGTTTGTCACGAAATAAATATAAAAATAAAATTTATGAAGCATTACATAGTATAAATCTTCACCAGTGCTCAGGCCAGGAGGATTTTACAGCGATTCCTTATGTTTTATTAAACCTGGATTCTCCTGCTGTCTACAATGCGTTAAAGTCATTAGCACATGCACTGCAAGCAATGATCACATCTTCTGGGAGACCTTATGGGAAAAATAAAATGTGGTTGCCAAAATATAGATATCAGGTAAATGTTAAAAAATGTAGGTTATATATAGAATAAGACACTTCATGCTTACCAGGGGCATGGCCCAAGGGATCTTTACATTGTATTACATTGAATTATCCCCATTCGTGGTTCCACCCTCCAGGTCCTAGATCACTTTCAGGACCAGCAGAAGCAACCACAAAAATCAGAGGGAGATGAAGGCATCCACACTCTAAGAAGTGTGCCCAATGTGAAGATCCTTTGGGTGGCTTTGCTTAGCGAAGATTCTACAAACAGACACTGGGACAGGTAAGCAACAATCACTTTAATAATTTACAAATGGATAAGGCTGTTAAGGTACCTTTGGAAATGGAATGAGGGGCTGACACATGCCTCTGGTCAGTGCTGTCTCTAGCCTTATTGTCACCTAAGGTGAGGGGGTTGGTGGTGGTGCATGCAATCAGAGCAGCGGGAGATGGGTAGAGGAGACAGAGCTGCCAGACACGAGAGTGATGCTCTAACTGGTGTCCTGCCCAGCTCCTGACAATGAGTGACACCATCCGTGATGCTGACCAGAGCATCCCAGGTTGCTAAGAGCTGGGCCGGGAGACGTGCATGGACCTCTCCTGGCTCCTAGCAACCTTGGATGCTCTGGCCAAAAAGGGGGTGGCAGGCCCCACGCAAACATTGTGCAGCAGGGCGGCCATGCCGCTCTGCCTGATGCCCCCCCATATGACCAAAGAGATACCGCCTAAATCAATAGCTTTAGGCTGCCTCATTAAAGTGACGGCCCTGCCTCTGGTATTCTCACATAGCCCCAACCTACATTTTGTGATCATTATTACTAACTGTGGGATTTTCTACTTATCCTGCTGAGGGTGGTGAAACCATGTCTGTATGTCTGACCAACTCTAATGGATGCAAAGTCTATAGTTGGCTCATTTTACAAAGCAGACACAGGCTAAATAGTAGAAAAGCCTATCCCCGCTAGCATGCTGCAGAGTAGGAGCCTTGCTCTCCATGCGAAAGATGCGTCTCTCTGCAGACAATGCTGGATTCGTTGGGATTCATTTGGGAGGGTGAACTTCCTCTTCAACAAACTGAGTATAATAAAAGCAGACCTTCCTATTTATAAATCAATGTAAGAAAATTCCTGGTGAATAAAAACATCAACTGTATAACAGAGAAAGATATGAACCTTTAGAAAGTTTGCCAACATTTTTGCAATGTCGTCAAGTTTTTTTTCTCTCTCAAGAAAATGGGTGTTACATTAACAATAATGTCTAAACAATCTTCATATTTATTAGACTATCTTATTAGAATAAACATTATAAATATATGTAATTTGAAAGTCAATAAGTTTATTCAATCTTTTTACTCTAGTTGAATAAATATTTAAGACAAGTTGAATATGATGACGGGATCGAGAAAAGACTGTACTACAATGAAAATGGAGAAATGAACACAAGCTACTCTATTTATAACTTAGTAACTTTCCATAACAATGTTAACAGTTATAGGTATGTGGGGTCATTCTCTCCATGGGCTCCGCCAGATGAACAGCTCTTTATCAATGTAACCGCAATCACCTGGAAAAATGATTCTAAGCGGGTGAGAACATGATTTTGCCTTTTTCTCTTTCTCTCTCTTGCTGTCTCTTTCTCACACCTTTTCTTTTGTTTTTCTATGTACCTCTGTCCTCTTTGCTAAAAATTTTTGCACAATAATTGATCTTTTGCTTCATGGTCTGTATTCATTTCTTCAATTTTTATTGTTTATTTATATGTTTTATTGCATATGTATTTTTTCGTTACCAATTGTATATCGATGTTATATCTTTTTTTACCTTTTTGATACTGTAAAACTTTTAAAAGTACACTGCCTGTCCAAACAAAAAGTCACACACTCTAATATTTCGTTGGATCACCTTTAGCTTTGATTATGGCACGCATGCACCATGGCATCATTTCAATATGCTTATGCAATGTCACAACATTTATTTTCCATCCAGAGTTGCACTCATTTTTCACCAAGATCTTGTAGTAATGATGGGAGAGTCGGACCTCTGCGTGAAGTCTTCTCCAGCACATCCAAAAGATTCTCAATGGGGTTAAGATCTGGACTCTGTGGTGGCCAATCCATGTGTGAAAATAGTGTCTCATGCTCCCTGAAACACTCTTTCACAATCTGAACCCGATGAATCATGACATTGTCATCTTGGAATATGCCCATTCCAAGAAAAAAAGCCATTGTTGGAAAAAGCTGGTCATTCAGTTTATTCAGGTAGACAGCTGACCTCATTTTTGGGGACTTAACGTTGTTGAACCTAGACTAATTATCCAATAGAAGGCTCTGACCGAAATCCCGGTGCCTTTTTTTTGACAAACAATGTATTATATCACTAGCATTGTGCAATAGTTCTGGGGGGGTGGGGAGTAGCTACTTTTAGTATTTGTAATGACAATGGGATATTTCTGAAAATGTTTGTATAATTAATTCCTACTTGGTTGTACACAAAACACCTTGATAATTAAACCATTTAGATTGCTAATTTCATTAAGGGCATTTCTGCTATGTCAAGGAGCATAAGAATTTCCAAACCAAACCAAAAGGTAATTTCGTTGTTAATGTTTCCATACACTTTATTTTACTGTAGACTCATGCACACTCTTTAAACTCAATGCTTCTCTGATAGATCCATATAGGGATTAATCTGTTTTTTTATTTTGTTTGCAATTCTGAAAGAGATTTCATTTGTAATTCTCTTATGTCCTGTGATGAAGCTAAATGCAGAAACCTAACACCAGCTTAGCTATTCCTTCTATTAGGTAACTTGAATGTCTCATAGTTAGATGGTGGGCGCAAGGTTCTCCATTCCAAGTGCTTCTACCTGTGGAGGTGTGAACCTTTACCCCCACTAAACAAATACATGAATAGAAAATAGTAATGGGTTATTAACAATGGTAAATAACTTTAGAGCAATTTAAACAAAACAAACATACACTATGGGGAATTTCCTATACCTGTGCCAACAGCATCTGCCTGGCATAAATTAACTCCTATATTTACTTTTCATGTGTTGCAGGTTCCAAGATCTCAATGTTCTGAAAACTGTCCACCTGGTAAAAGAAAAACCAAGAATGATATGCTGCAAATCTGCTGTTATGACTGTGTACAGTGTTCTGAGGGAGAAATCTCCAATATAACTGGTATATATACACAGAATGTAAACTTAAATAAACATCCTTTTTTTATTATTCATTAATAGACATACGAATAAATATGAATATGAGATTAATTAGCACCAGTGCTGAGTTCAACATACAATTAGAACTAGATCTAAAAAAATGTGGTGCTTAATACAAAGATAGTTTACTGGGTGGAGGATCCCTTTACCGGAGAGTTGGTTAGTCAAATGAAGAGTTAGCTGTTGAGACTACAGAGAGGGTTAGTGTTAAATGGAGGGTTTCTATGATGTAAAGTGTTAGAGTTACAGGAAACGTTAGTGTGAGAGTTATAGTGTGGGTTAGTGTTAAGGTAAGTGTTACATGGAAGGTTAGTGTGAAGCTACAGGAAGAATTTGTGTTACTGTCAACCATCCAGCGCGACAAATGAACAAAAGCAACATCACTTAGCTAGACAGCTCTCTAATATCAGCAGAAATGAAGAAGATCCTCTTCATAGTAGCAGAAATGGATGTAGAGCCAAACGTCTTGTACAGACCTGAAGGGTGCTACTGTCCCTTGTGGGGGTCCAGGACTGGCAATGTTGGTGTCTTCAACTGTACCGGAGGGAGATCAGCACACATCCAAAGGCAGAACTCCCCCCAGGGACTGAACCCAGAAGGGACAAGGGTTTTTGCCACTTCCAGGTTCAGGCTGTCATTATTTTGGATGCTGTGGTCGGAGAAGAAGCTGGTGAAGCATGATCTATGCAACATCAGCTTCGCTGGGGTCCATAGGTAACATGAAGGGAATAATAGGCTCCTGATGTCTCCATAAAGATTATCTGTCACCTCCTCCTGTGCTATCACATAGGATCCTCTACAGGGCCTCTGCTTTTAGAAAACATGTAGGTGTCTATTCACTAAGCTGCCGTAGGCTGATTCCAGCCGTATATCGGCTGACATAAACCGTACATCGGGTGGCTTCGGCTGATTTTGGGTCGGCCGAACATGCTGAGCATGTTCGACCCAAAGTGCAGAAGGAGTTCGACTCAGCCGATCCAACATCTGGATTGGCTAAGCCGAACCTCCGGCAGGCTACTCTGTGGTAATATAATATAATTGACTTTTATGTGGGTTATGATATAATATAATTGACTTTTATGTGGGTTATGATATACCATTGTTGCATTTATATGCTTATATTAAACAACTTTGGAACCAGAGCAAATTTATATATATGGGGTCTATTCACTAAGCTGCAAAAGGATCTAGCTGTAGCTTCGGCTGATCCTTCGGCTAGCTTCGGCCCCAGGACCACTATAGTCCGTACAGCTCCCGAAGTTGGCCGAGCGGATAAGTCGAGCCGAAGGCATATGCCACGGCTCAACTGAGCCAAGGTGAAAGCCATTGGCCGGCCGACAGCCTGCTTCTGACAGCTGGGCGGAGCGAGCCGTGATCTTATGGCTGGCTCCGGCCACTTGCAGGGAGATCAGCGTCCCTGGTCACCAGGTAACCAGGGACGCTGTCATTACACACTGAGAACCCGGCCGGGCCGCTATGATATCACAGTGGCCTCTCCGTGTTCTCAGAGTATAATGACAGCGTCCCTGGTTCCAAAGTTGTTTAATATAAGCATATAAATGCAACAATGGTATATCATAACCCACATAAAAGTCAATTATCGTACATTTTTGTTTTTCTAACAGAAATGTCATTACATTAGTAAGAATAATATTTATTTAAATTACAATTACTATTATTAATAATTTTTTTTTACAGATAACCCAAGCTGTATAAAATGCCTGGCCATAGAGTATGCCAATGACAAGAAGGATCACTGTATAATACGACAAGAAGAATATTTAGCTTATTCTGACACTCTGGCCATTGTACTTTCATGTGTCTCTGTTCTTTTAACAATTACTTCTGTTCTAATACTGATCATATTCATGTTTTACCGAGACACGCCAATTATCAAAGCTAATAACAAGAACCTGAGTTTTATTCTTCTTGTTTCCCTTTCATTGTGTTTCCTTTGCGTGTTCTTGTTCATCGGTCGCCCTGCTGATACCACCTGCATGTTTCGGCAAATCGTATTTGGAATCACCTTTTCCATTTCAGTGTCCTCCGTGTTGGCCAAAACTGTTATGGTCTGCATCGCCTTTAATGTATCGAGACCTGGAAGCTTCTGGAGAAAACTGATTGGGGTTCAATTATCCAATTCTATAGTTCTGTTGGCATCTTTTGTAGAAGTTATAATAAGCATTGCCTGGTTGACTCTTTCACCTCCATATCAGGATATGGGCACACAGACTTACCAAAAAAAGATTGTAATTGAGTGCAATGAAGGCTCCACAGTTGCCTTTTATACTGTTTTGGGATATTTAGGATTTTTGGCATTTGTTAGTTTTACTGTGGCATACATAGCCAGAAATTTGCCAGACCAGTTTAATGAAGCCAGGTACATCGTCTTCAGCATGCTGGTGTTCTGCAGTGTCTGGATTGCTATGGTTCCAACCTACCTTAGCACTAAAGGTAAAAACATGGTGGCTGTAGAAATTTTCTCCATACTAACTTCAAGTGCTGGACTTTTAGGCTGCATTTTCTTTCCAAAATGTTACATTATAATGATCACACCCCACATGAATAGAAAGAGCCATATATCCAGAAAGGCAATTACATGATCAACAATTGTAATTTATTAACTTGTGCCAGAGAATATAATGGTCTCCTAAAGGAGTGCAAAATATTGATTCGCTTTGGAATAAACAATAAAATATTGCTAATAAAAATTACTGTATATTGATTACATTATGCAACAGTGTTTTGATCTGGTTTTTTATTTGACACTGTCATTGATCCCATTTAGGGCGAACTGACAGTGTCTGTATAAAGCCCCCCCTGACCCACCTATACTTACTCTAAGGTTAAAGCCATTATTCACACCTTGTACCACACCCTCTCTCCAGGGGAAGCTACAACAGGCCCCTATGGACTCCTTAAGATACATAAAGTAGCATGCCCCCCAGCTTTGTAACTTGAGAAAGAGTGACACTTTGGGATGGAGAAGACTGAAAATGGGTTTGTTTAAATTGCGTTGGGCATGGCTTAAAGAAGCATGGTTAAAATTAGTTTGCACCTACATTTTGTATACACTGTACACAGTCTACAATCTTTGTATCCACAAGATACTCCATAATTACTGTGCTATGAGTGATAACACTAATACTTAAGAAAAGAAGTAAATAAATACTTTGCTGGGCAATGTACATTTTTCAGGATTCATTATTGAGTGTAATATTACTTTAAGCCAGGATTCATCCTAGACTGTGCATCATTCTTACTTTGTGCATGTAGTAGGCACTGCCATTGATCAGGCCGCCCAAGTTAGGCTATGTACGTGCCTGTCTAAACTCTTGCTATGGCTCTGACATCTCCAAGCTCAAACACACATACCTCTAGTGTGCACAAATATAACCTAGTGCAGTGGGCAGAGCTCAGATGCAGGGCCAGATTAAAAGCATCACATGCCTGGTGTTGAGGATTTTGGTGGACCTTTTTATGGTCACTAGGGTTCTCTTCCTCCTGTCTGGGCTGTGATTTGTAGTCTCTCTACAGCTTGGAGTCAGTGGTGGAGCGCCAGGGACTGGCTGTAGCTGTGAGCCTGGTAGGTCTGCCACTGACTCCGAAGCTGTAGAGAGACTAGACATCTTAGCAATAAATTATACAGCAATGCAGAATATTACCACTAACTATAGATAACTACAAATCCCAGTAATGCATTACAGATCAATGCAGAATGCCACCAGCTACAGAGGTGTACAAATCCCAGCAATACATTGTAAAACACTGCAGAATAATACCATCATAGTTACATAGTTACATAGTATTTGAGTTTGAATAAAGACATTAGTCCATCAAGTCCAACCTATTAGGATCTCATTCTAGGAGTACCTGTACCCCTGTATATTACGGTCCCTTAAGAAATCGTCCAAAAGTTTCTTGAACAATTCCACATTATTTAATCAGCTATAGAGGACTACAGATCCCAGTAATACATTGTAAAGCATTACAGAATAATACCATCAGCTATAGAGGACTACAAATCCCAGCAATACTTTATACAGCAATGCAGAATAATATGAAGCTACATACTCTTTTTTGCTCCAGGTTCATGGACTGATGTCTCCAGGGTCTCAGGAGAGGTGTGTTGGGTTTAAAAGGGCTGTGCAGTCTCTCAGGAGACTGTTCAGGTTCTTAGGTGGCCAGTGCGGCTCTATGAGGGCCAGCACAGCCTCTCAAGCAGTCAGTGTGGGCTCTCAGGTGGTCAGTGTGGTCTCTCAGGTGGTCAGTGAGGGCTCTCAGGTGGTCAGTGTGGTCTCCCAGGTGGTCAGTGCGGGCTCTCAGGTGGTCAGTGAGGACTCTAGGAGGTCAGTGAGGGCTCCAGGTGGTCAGCATGTGCTCCAGGTGGGCGGTGTGGGCTCCAGGCAGTCAGTGCGGGCTCTCAGGTGGTCCGTGCGGGCTTTCAGGTGGTCAGTGTGGGCTACAGTTGGTCAGTGAGAGATCCAGGTGGTCAGTGAGGGATCCAGGTGGTCAGTATGTGCTCCAGGTGGTCAGTGCAGGCTCTCAGGTGATCAGTGCGGGCTCCAGGTGGTCAGTGCGGCTCCAGGGGATCAGTGTGGGCTCCAGGCAATCAGTCCAGGCTCCAGGAGGTCAGTGCAGGCTCCAGGGGGTCAGTGTGCACTCTCAGGCAGTCAGTCCAGGCTCCAGGGCGTCAGTGCAAGCTCTCAGGTGGTCAGTGCAGGCTCCAGGCAGTCAGTGCAGGCTCCAGGCAGTCAGTGCAGGCTCCAGGAGATCTTTCTGGGT